AGCATAAAGGAGTGTGCCCAAGAGTGATATTCTAGGCGTACCAATTTTTCAGCTAATGTCTTTTTAAGCGGCATTCTGCGGAGAGGGCTTTCCTCCCTTTTGCCCATTTTCAATTTGCAACTTGTGTTTGTACGCATTTTACACTTTTACTGGGGATGCTGTTTGGTGGCTCTTATTGTTGCCATGCGAATCATTAACGCTGAGCGGCTCAATTAGCTAATTATGCAAGACCCAAGCGATGCCACGTGGAGAGAGAGCCAGGGCCAGGGACAATGCTGATGATGCGCATGATGAGTGGCAGCTTCATTAGCGACATCAGAGAAAGGCACGCAATAAGCGGGAATATTTATTGGGTTTAAGAATATTGCAGGCAAGAGAATGAAGGATTTTTGGCAAACATTCGTTGGAACGATGCTGCTCTGTGCCTGAATGGATTACATGGATTTTTATTTGTTTTATTTGTAGTGTATAAAGTACATTTTTTGTTGAACCTTTAGCTCAAAAATATGTCAAGTATAACTGCAATTTGAAATGAATTTCTTTCATTTAGTATTCCTTCAGTGCCATCCTCTCGTCACATTTTTTTCCAAGTGCACAAGATTAATATATCAGAAAATATATTACTTATATCCCCACCAGCACGCGGAGGCCAAAGGGATACAAAAGTAAACTGCCATATATCATAAATGACGATGGCAAAGCCATGTTGACTTATTAAGTGCCAGCCACCGCTGTTTTTTCATCTGCCAAAGGGGTTCGCGTCGGTTCCCTTTTTACTCTGTTGTCCTTTGTCAGGCTGTCACTCTTCGTTTGCCATTTGCTGTGACCCTGCGGGTTGTCGCTCTCCCACATGTACGAGTACGAGTACTCCCAGTGCTCGTACATCTATGCAAATGGCAAAAGAAAGCAGTCAAAGTGGTTTCTGACTCTGCGTCTGGCAGCTGACTCGCTCTGAGCTAAATTGCTCGTACCACAAGCTTGTGCCCATCCATCATGTGTTGTCCTGCGAGGGTCCACAGTGTGTACCCTACCAAGTGATGCATTCAATTTGTCATTAGTGCCACGACCATCTAAGCTAATGCACCTTCCATGGGGCAATAGTTGTTAAGGGACAAGCCAAAGGGAATGAACTTTAGGTATAAAGGTTAAAGGAAACTTTAAGGTTTTATATTTAGAATGGAAGGTGAATCGAAATGTTTTCTAATAGTTTTTCAGTCTTCTTTTCTCCAATTCTAGAGTAAGGAAAACAATCTTCAATTCTCAGGTATACCCCAAACAGCTAATAGTAGTTCCAGCTAGAAGCTAACTTAATCCTAGGGCATCCCAACTAATTCAATGCTGACGCTGGAACTTGTTTACGCCGTACTTGGACCAACACCCGCCACCCTCCCCCCTACACTGCGTGGGCGTGGGAGTGTACGTGGGCGTGGGCATGAGCTCTGCTGCTGATGACGTCGATCTGCACACCCACACACACATCGAGAGAAAACGTTTGAAAAATATATTTCTTTGCCTTTTTTTTCGTCTACCGGCAGGTCACACAGACAGAGGGGCACAAGAGTGTGCAGGGGTCACAGGGAAATGTGTCTTCTGGGAGCATTTCTGTGACATTTCTTTGCCTGCTTGCAAAATGTATGCAAAACGTCTGTCGTATCGCAGCAGCAGCACTTTCCTTGCCCCATCCCGACATTGATTGACGTTGAAATCAAAAGTTGACTAAATGCAACTCAAGTGGAAAATCTCGAGGGGAAAATCAGATTGTGCGTGATTGTGCATTGTGCATATCGGGAGCTGAATATATTACAATTCAGAGGGATACACTTGATCAGCTACAATCTGTTACTGTTGGGCTAAAACTCTGATTTAATTTCCAGGAAGCGGCGATAACTGCGTAGCAGTCTCCCGTATGGCTGGAGGTTCCAACAGGGGAAGCATTTTTCGGCCTTGCGATTGAACAATTAATTGGCAAACGTCCTGGGCCTGTCCCTGTGCCTGTGCCTGTGCCTGGTAGCTCGTTCCTGATGTAGCCCTTATGGTAAGCCTGAAAATCAGGTTACACGAGTGGCGAAAACCCGAGAGAGAGCGCTTTTCAATTGCCCGACGTTGTCCTCGGAATGGCTTCCTAATCAGTGTTTATTGTTTCCATCTGGTCTAAAGGTGTGGGGCTAATTGCGATTATCGCTGAATGCGTGGGTGGCTGTGAGCCATGGGCTCTGTTTGCGGGGCAACTGTGGGAATCTGAAATTCGGATAAATTTAATGCTGTCTGGGATTTGACGTCATTTTGTGAAGGGTTGGTTTTACCAGGAAATTGGAAACTAAAGGGATTTTGAGATGAGTAAGGCGAGAGCTCTTGCCGATGGAGAGGGGAAAAAACACCTTGTGGCAGAGATACTTGATACACTTAATGGAGCTCGCTGTCAAAGGATATGAGGTCTGGAGGGTGATTCTCTAAGGAAAACTGCCTGGCAATGGCGCTTTCTGTTAATGAAAATGTCCGGCAAGGGTGGATTCTACAAACACTAAAATTGAGATAACTTGTTGGCTTTTCTACAAGCCTCAAAATGGATGAACAGCAATGAAAATGCGAGTGTTGAATGCTTTACAGAAGATACAGACACAAAAGATGTAGGAAATTTTAGAACTTCTTGAGAACTTTTCGATCAATTTCAAATTTTTGTGATTTATTTAATATAATAACTTCATTTAATTGTTTCCTACCAAAAGAACCAGAAACAATGCACAAAAACAGTCGAACTTTTAAGACCCCAACTTTGTCAAAGGATCGACTTAAAGTAGTTCTTTCATAAAGAAACCAATTCATAATCCCACCCCAAATATGAACAAGCCAACTTCCACTCACCTCTCAATGAACTCTGCAACTTTCCTTAACTTCACTTTAATGGTAAAAACTTATCCTGTTATCACTTTAAGACAGACGCGACAGACCGTTCTATTTATTTGTTGAGTTCTTGTTTTGCTTTATATTTTTTTTATGGAGCTCAAGGAGCAATCAAACCGAAATCCTTGAGGGTCGAGCAGCAATTGAAGCGTAATTATTTGCTACGGCGCATTTCCCGTGTGGCGTGGCGGCGGCGTCGGCGTCGGCGTCGTTGTCGTCGTCGCTGCTCAAATGGCCAGAACGGCGAAAAGGCGGCTTGGACGTCACCGGAAAGCGGGCCAAAAGCGTAACGTAACGTTAGTTGGCACTGGGTCAGTAGAGCAGCGGGATATTGGTTGTTGTTAGGTTTGTTGTCTGCTATTTGTTATTGGTGTTGTCCCGTTGTCTGCGCCAAGTAATCAGAATAATTACATGGCCCTAATGGCAACAGGGGAACTTGCTCATTTTATAGTTGAAAATAAATTGGTTGGGGGGCAGCGGGCAGTGGACAGCGAGCAGCAGCGCAGAGGGATGGCGATGGCGACAGGCCTTCTTTTATAAGCAAATTGCGTGTTCATTGCTCAAGGTCGTGGATAAAGTAAAGGATATTTTTGTGGATCCCAATCCCCCACCCCAGATGCCGGGCAAATATTCCGCTGTCTAGTTTTTCGTTTAGTTAAATTTTTTTTCGTTAAATAATAGTCAAAAGAGGACAATGTGAGGCTGGATATGGATACCCTTTGAATAAGAGTTTGATATGTTGTGAGCAAATTTTAATACGGTGATGCGATTTTTAGCATTATTTTGAAGGTTATGTGCAAGTTGAGGTGCAAGGTTATGAGCTCGATTATACACAGAATAAAACAGAAGTCAACTAGATGTACATTTGACGCTGCAAACATCTGCTCTAATAAATATACTCCCCGCTAAAGGGCGTCAAAAAACAGCCAAAAAATGCAATCAAAACCGCGTCTGAGCTTAGTGGTGGTTGCGGTACTTAAAAGAGCGCTGGCGCCTCACGCACACTCACGCAATGCGGCGTCACTTGTTGCTACATGTACGAGGAAACACACAAAATGTCGCTTAGTTTCAAGCGCCTGTTTAGCACATCCAAAATCAAAGCTGTCTAGCATAAATTCCACTACAATTCTCAAATTTCAGTTAATAATATACGGCCCATAGTCACAGCTAACGGGACACCATATGCCGGCAAGCCAAACAGCAGCAACATCGCACGCACACCACGACACGCCGCTTAGCACAAAAAGTTATCAATAACAATAATAACATATTACAATACGAGACTATGCAGCGTACCGGCAAATGTTTACGTCTCTTTCGCGTGGATGGTGGATTTATTTCATGCGCGGACAAAAATGCTTCGTTCGAAAGGGCCGAAAATAACAGTGTGACTGCAGATTTTTCGATCAAATATAGGCGACAAAACTTCAAAATATACCCAAATATACCAGCCCCCATTAAAAACATACCATAAATATACCGTAGATCTTAAGTAATTTTCTCGAGTTTGCTATTCTATTTAATATCACTAGCTAACTAGAATTCTCAGCGCTATAACTTTAATTTTTCCCAATTCATTGATCTTTTTTCCATAAGATTGATTAGTTTTTACGGCTTCATTCTATTGGATTGATTATAGAATAAAGATAATAGGGCTAAGTAGTTTTTGAGAAACTAAAATATCATTAATTTCCGTCTGCAAGTATTCGATTACGATATATCGATCGCTTTTTTTTCAAAATATAATTTGGCGAGCACGCTGCCTTTCTATATTAACTCAAGCTAAATATGTATAAAACAAAAATTGTTTGTTGTATACCACCATATTTGATTCATGAACAATTTTGAAAAATGTCTATTATTTTGTGACGGAAAAGGATTTTGTGAATTTGTTTCCGCTTATCGCACAAAACTACCTATATCTACCATATAACCGATAAAACCGATTAAAAATTAATTTATATGATCCTGCAGCATGAAAATAGGGCAAAATAGTTTTCCAGATACTAAAACATCATTAATTTCCACAAAAATATACAATTTTCGCCAATCGAATAAACTATCAAACAACATACATCGATGCATGAACATATATCGACATAAGTACCATCGCTGGCTAAATTTTTATGTTGCTTTTCCGAAGAATTTGTTTGAATTTTAACCAATAAAACGTGTAATTAGCCATCAACACAAGCAACACTCGGTGAAAAAATGTTCGGGGGCAATGCAGTTATTAACGTTTGAGCAGAAAAGGGCTGTGAAAAAGCGTGGGCGAGGAAAATTGTGCAGTGAAAAAAAAGTGCGCGTGTGGAGTGAAGAATACAACGCTGAAAAGTAGCCGCGGCGCTGCGCCTGCTGCTTGCTGCCTTCTGCCTGTGCTGTTAACAGACCCGACCGACCGACCGACCGACCCCCTCGAGAACGAGAGCGTTGTAAACAATTGTATTTGCGTGATTTTTCCACCACAATCATCCCCCGTATATCGTGTTACAGTGTAATGTGCTCCGAGTGCTGAAAAAACCCCAAGTAATATGGCCCAAATGAGCAGCAACGAGCCCTTTGACGATGAGCTCTTTGAGACGCGCCTGGAGGCGCTAAAGGACACACAGGAGGGTATACAGCAGATGTCGAACTGGTGTCTCCAGCACCGCGCCAACCACAAGAAGATCATTCAGTCCTGGCTGAATGTATTCAAGAGAGGTAAGGCCGGGAAAGTCATTCTAGAGCCTGGAAGTTAATTTGATGGAATTTTCAGTACGCGTGGACCATCGTTTGGTGTTGTTTTATCTGGCCAACGATGTCATACAGTATAGCAAGCGGAAGCGCTACGAATTCGTGGAATGCTGGGCCACAGCTCTACAAAGAGCCACCACCATGGTGCGGTAAGTAAACCAAATCCCACCTCAAGCCACTAAATACTAATCATCCCTCCTTTCTGCCAGTGATGAGCGCGTCAAGGATAAGATTTTGCGTATCTTTAAGATCTGGGAGCAGCGTGAAATCTACAATGAGGAATATCTGAGCGATCTGAGTGGTCTGCTCAACATCACGCCGCCAAAGAAGTCGCAAGTGGATGCCAGCGATGAGTTTCAGAATGCCACGCTCATTGCACAGGTGCGCGAGTGCGTGGAACTGGCGGAGGCCACGGACAAGAGCATGAAGAAGCTACCAAAGCCGCCGCATCTGGAGATTGAGACCATCAAGCAGCAGCTCAAAGACAAGAGCCATTCGGGCGACATTGAGAAGGAGGTGGAACGCTGTGTGGCCTTTATAAATGCCTACAACAAGAATTTGCAAAATGAAATCAAGAGCCGCAAGGCGGTGCTGACCAGCGTGGAGGCCGCCAAAAAGTTCTACGAACATCAAGGCAGGGAGGTCAAAGTGGTGGCCAGTGTAAGGAATAAAATCTAATACCCCTCCAACCTCTCTCTAAGCTGTCACTTTTCTTCTTTTTAGGCCTATAAAAGCTTTGGCACACGCATCAAGATTGTGAAACGGAAGCTGGATGAGACCATACCCACGCTGCAGAGTCCCATACCCTCGCCGGACATTAATGCACCATCGCCCGAGCGTGATGCAGATCTCCAGCTGCCCGACGAGACAACGCCACCGTTGGGAATAGTAAGAAAAACCCCAAAGGGAACTTTCAGCAATTTCTGGTATTAATTTCTCTCTTTTGCAGAACGTTTTTAGCGGCGGATTGAATGGTTTCTCCAGCTATTTGGACGGCGGCAAGCTCCCTTTCGACATTAATGACTTCAAGCGGGACTCGAAGGATCTGGGTAGCGCCATTGAGGTGATTGGCTCGCGTTCGGATGATGAGGCGTATGCGCCGAATGCAAATTTCTACAAGCCCGAGCCCATATCCAGCTACAGCAGCAGCAACAACAGCGGTGGCGGTGGCAACAACAGCTCCATACCTGGTTTGGGCGGAGGAGGAGGAGGAGGAGCTGGCAATGGCTCTGCTGGCGGGGAATACAATCCCAATCAATCGCAGTTTGACAGCCCATTGGCACCGCCTCCGATTTTCGGTTCTAACAACCAGGAACAGTATGTACCGCCGCTGCCCTCGCATCATGGCTATGGCGGAAATGGTGGGGGTGGTCAGGATGCACAATATACACCCGCACCAATGCCACCACCACCATTGCCGCCATCTCTTGGATCGTCTGGTGGTGGCGGTGGCAATGGCGGAGATGACTTCAACAGCACCTGGAACATGAGCATGTCGTGGACGCCGCTGGACACCAGTCTGAACAGTAGTGGTGCCAGCTCCTCCGCCTATAATCCGCAGTCCACGCCTCACTCGCCGCCTCATTTCGAGCGCAAGGCCAGCGTCGCACCGCCCGAGTACAGCGACCATTTGCACAATAATGCCGCAGCGCTGGGCGCCGAGGATGTGGATCATCGCACGCTTCAGCTGCCGCCGGCCTTTAATTTCGGCGCAAAGCTCGGTCTCAGCCAGGACAAGACACGCCAGCTAGTGGACATAGATCATAGGAATCTGATATCACTCACGGGTTCACCCGGTGGCGCAGAAAAGGTAATGGAAAACTCTTTAAAGTCATAGAATTTTCTTTTATAATTGTGATTCTTGTAGGACTTTGGTGGTGGCGGGGATGTGGACTATCGCATTGTGCCGGGCTCTGCGGATGAGGGCATCATGGCACCGCCTGGAAATAACTATGCCAAGACCAAGACCAGTTCTCCCCATAAATCCAATGCGAGTAAGTAGCAAAAATCTCCTTTGAAATGTTCCCTCCATATTGAAACTTTATCCTTCCTTCAGGCTCTTCTTCAGAATCGGATCGTGTGGATGGCGCTACACGCTATGATCCTGCAGATATGGTCATAGATATGGACATGTCGGACGATGATATTGATGAGTCGCTGCGAGGTAGTCGGGTTTTTCATCGCTTTTTGTATTTTTAAGACATTCTGCTGAAACTTTTCCCCCCTTTTTCTTGCCTGCTTAGAGCCCAAGGAGGATCTGCTGGAGGAGGCTGAAACGGATGCCAATGGCGGCTTGACGCCCTCGCGTCCTGTGCTGCTGGAAACGCCCACAGATTTCATGAATCCCTGGGAGTCGAACAACAGTTTTCTGGGCCAACCCATGGCGGACATGTCCGGGGAGCAGGAGCAAACGCAGCAACAGCAACAGCCATGGAATCAAATGCCTCAAATGCATATAGGAGCGGGTGCACCGCCACCGCCACAACCGCCGTATGGACCACCCTTTCCGTATCAACGTTTCGGGCCACCCATGAACAGTCCGGACAACATGCAGCAGCGTGGCCGTGGACGAGGTCGCGGCTGGTCGAACCAAGGGCCATATCCTAGGTCGCCCTATCAGCGGCAGCCTGGCCCCTACGACGGTGGACCCGGCCCAGGGCCACGACCGTTCTATGCACGCGGCGGCGGTGGTGGCGGGCCTGGAGGCGGCAGCATCGGTGCACAGATGCGTGGTCGTGGGCGCATGCGTGGTAAAGCTTGGATGTAATTTACGTTTACGTACTCGTATTATAAACCTACACAACACAAACAAACAGACAACAGACCGCCGCTGTGCCGCCTTTGGTTTAGTTCGTAGTTTACTCCTCCCCCACTCTCACTTATCTCAACTCGTTTTAGTTTTAAAAACCGACGTAAATTGTACAGAAAAGGTCCCCAAAAAGCAACCGAAAGCTGATCTTAGTTGTTGCCTGAAACACTCCCCATATATATCGTGTGTCTATATAGCATTATACATTTTAAGTGGATTCAATTGGTTGAGTGATTCGATAGTTTACTAATTGATAAGACGATTATACAGATTTACAGATTTTAATTTTTTGGCAAGAAACAAACCAACCGTAGAAAAGTGTTTAAGAAACAACAGAAAAAACATTTTACACTTAAGATCTAAGAATTCTTCCACGTCTCTTTGACCTATCGACCTATTGAAAGCAATTTGACCTGCAATACTTGATAGAAAATCGCGTTAAGTTACCCCACCTTCCCATGCATCATTCAGTTTATTAATTGTGAACTTCATTTAAGACACACACGTGACCCACGCATGCAAAGACTTTTAAGCGAAATCTTTAATAATTCAATTAAACATTAGGTTTATAGATTTGCCTTAGCTACCTACCTATCATATATATGTATGTATATGTATTCATTCGCTATTGATTTAGTTAAATGCGCCATTTGCTTCTAGTTCTATATGCTAACGCCCCCCAATTCTACCATCTAAGCCACACTGTAAATAGTTGTATAATTAGTCCAACAAAAAAGGAACTGTGAATTCTTTACTTTGGGTCAAAGCCACAGTTGTGTATGCTCTTCACTAAATGTTTATCCTAATTTAATAATCATCAATGGTATATTTAATGTTTGATCATGAAAATCAACACAAAAAGAAAAGCAACAAAAAAAATTAATTAATTAATATCGTTAAAGGAAATTGCAATAAAGTTTGATTTCTTTACAAATAATATTCACTGGAAACGGTGAAGGGACAGAGCCCCTCAACGGACAACGGATAAATCTTTGCCGGACACGACTTTACTTCAGATACTTTTTTGACTGTTTGCGGATCAATGGATCAATGTTTGAGCATCACTTTTTAGCACGTTTCATATTTGATATTTTTTGTTGAATATTTTCTGCGTTCATTTCTAAAATGATTCATGTGGAAAATGTTCAAGGTAAAATCTTAAATATATATATTTTTAAGCCTTCTCTTTGTTCTTGAATTTATCATGATAATTGATCCTAAATATGGTTGTCGTTAAATATCCATGACTACATTTTTTTAAGGACTAAAGTTTTCTCGTATACAATTTTTCAGACAGGTTTTTGCTGTTTAAAATTCACAAAATCTAAAATGTAAATGCAATAAAAATCAACAACAAATTACTTAAATTAACTTCTAGAAAAATGCGTAGATATTTCTTGACTTATTTAATGCAATCTTTGAGTAGGTTCAAATCTACTTCGGACTGTTGCCCCCTAATTCCTGACCTGTCGGCTGCGCAGAAAATTGATTCTCGATCCACGATCATCATATTTAGATATTCCAAACAATTATTTCGTAATACCCACAAAGACTGAAACTAATTTAAAAATCTGACAAAAATCTCAACCTAAAGACCATGAAAACGAATCTAAATTGAATTAAGAGGTATTATTTATAAACTTTAAGCAAGCACTCTGTGTACATAGGTAATAATTTAAATTAAAAACCAAGAATTATGCATGATTTTTAGGCACTTTGTGTACATAAGCTCTAAAATTAAGCTCTAAATCAAACAACATTAGTGAAGAGCATACCATATATATAGAAGGAATTGTACCCTAGAATTACGCATCTAGTTATAGTTTATTGTTAAGTAAATGTTGAGTATTTAGTTGTATAAATACAAAAAAAGTCAATGTGATATTCGAAATATTTAAATGATCCTCCTGTTCTTGTTCGGTTTATTCACTTAGAGTTTGTAAAGCGTTGGCTTAGTGAGGGGAAACATAGCATTTACAAATGACTATGTTTAAATCAAATTGCTGGGTCCTGCCACAAGAAGGATCTAAGGCAGCGCTGAGCGTTGTGTGTTTACCTGTTGATGGCCCTTAATCACTTCTGTTTTTCTGGTGGTTCCCGTTCCCTCTCTCTATCTGCTGTCGTGTCGGAAGTCGGAACTCATTAATCGTGTGCTCCGGTAAGTGATGTTTTGACCTTTTTCGTATGGTTAGTGGGTGTGGCACACTCCACTACTAAGTCGTGCCGCCTAGCTACTCTCTCAAGGATAACTAGCACGGGATGTGATACTCTCCCTGAGACGGGTTGTCGGAGGAAAGTGTGGCGAATGTAAACAAATGTTGCATGAGAGCGATTGCTAAAGGATGTGTCAATGTGCATATGCAGTTGATGTGGATAAAATAAATGATGAAGGTTGACTCGGTCTTAGGTTATGCATTGCATTTGGATTTGGATTTTTTGGTAAGTAAATTAAACCACAACCAAACCAACCTGAATCTGGATAAAGAAATATCTCTTATTGTCTCTGGAATGTATTTGAACTCATTGAAATTGTTTATTTTTCATAATATTTTGCACAGTTTAAATTCACAGATTTCTGTATTTGTTTATTACTGAGTAATAGTTGTCTATTTATCCTATTTCCCCCACAGATTGATCAAGAAATGTTTCATTAAAATACTAACAAAAAAACTACACAACATTATTAATTCATTTAACGATCAAAATTTGTTTGCTTTCGGCTTTACGCTTGTTTTTGTATTTTTATGTATTTCTCTTTTTATTTTGTTTGCGTAATAAACTATATTTTAATTAAAAATAACATGTCAAGTTATTAATTTTTCCACTAAATTTTAACATTTTGCTTTTACTCGCAAATCTTTTTAACAGTTTTCTTATTGTTTTGTTACTCTTGTCTGGTGGCAGTTATACCATTTAATCAGCATTCTAGTCCTTCACGCTCGTCAGTTATTTAGTTGCAGCGTCTAAGATTTATACCACCATGAGGAGTAGAAGATCGGTGCAGGACCATACCGACACAGAAACACCAAGGGCAAGGAAAATTCCCAAATAAACGATGAAAATGTTTGAATTTTCCCTTTGGAATCCTTGAATTTTTTCCAAATAATTTGTTTTTATGGACACCAAAGCCTCATCAAAAATTAAACTCCAAAGTCGCTTCAATTTCAAATGCTTAATATTTTATTAACCCGCGCTCTAGTAGATATGAATTACAACTAAAATAATAATAATAAACGATGATCATGTACAGTGCTTAAAACTAACAGCCTTTATAAGTTGACACTAGGATGAAAGTGTTGCAGCAACACACAGCATTCCCACTCGGAGATCCTTCTCCGCATACTCAATAGTCCCTCGAGAGCAACGTGACCAGATCCCCGATGTAGGCCTGTGCCATTTGCAGTGTCTCGTATTTGGAGAGTCGTCGATCGTGGCCCAGAGATGGCACCACATCCCGCAGCTTGTCGAAGGCATCATTCAGGCTGTTCATTCGCCGACGTTCCCGGGCATTGGCGGCCAGGCGACGCTTCTTCAGGACAGTTCCACTGCTCACAGGAGACAGCGAAAACGATGATGACGATGCCGAAGAGTTGCTGGAGGATATCGAAGAGATGGAGGTGGACAGCTTGTCGTAGGGTTTGCTTCGATGCTGTGGCTGCTGCTGTTTGGTCCAATAATTGGAACTTCTCTGCTGACATTTGCTCAAGGAATTTGCTTGATTCTGCTCCACCGCTTGGGCGCTGAGCATGTGCTCCAGTCCGAGCACCGCTGGTGTGTCGTAGTACAGCTGCTCCATGGTGGAACTGTTGGTCTCATCCGACAGACTGTCGCCGCAGCCACTGAGCTCCTGCTGGTACATGAATTGCTCCAACTGCTGAAACGCATCCATGCCCTGCAGCTCATCCGTGTGGCTATGGCTTTCGCTTGGGTTTGGGTAGTAAAACTGCTCGAGCAGATCGTTGTTGGTCAACATGTTGAAGGCCGAAGGATAACTGAACTGAAACAGGACAGGGCTGTCGCTTTATATAGCAGAGGCAGAAGGCAGGAGGCAGAGGCTGCCTCTTTTATGATTGGCTTAGAGCCTGCCCTGCTACCTGATTCGCTGAGTCTTGGCCTGATCAGCTTTTACCTGCAGCAACAGAGCCCACAGCCCGTGCCCTAAATTGGCTTGCGGTCAAAACGTTTAATTGCCTTCGGATCGGATCGGATCGGATCAACTCTAGATGGACTTCTGTCTTGGCCTTTTGCCGCTTTGTTTGACCTGTCATTTGGCTACCGTCCGTAATCATACCTCCTTTTGTGTGCTTTCTGTACTGCAAATTTAACTTCTTTTTAGCTGCACAAAACAATTGCTGGCCCAAGGTCAGCCAATGCCAGCGCAAAACAGCAGCTCTGCTGCCAATGTGGGAATTATTTTCATAATTTTAGCAAGCAACACTCCACCCTATATGCCACAGCCACAACCCGTTGCACAGCTCCATCGCCATTGCATGTCTGTGGTCTAGTAAGTGGTCGTCGGATCGGCACCTTTGCAGCAGAACAAAGCAAAAAGAATTCCGTTGTGTGGTTTGCAAACTTTCGATTTTTAGTCGATTTTATTTTATTATTGGGTCAAACGCAAATCGCTTTATGCTGGCTGGGACTTGGGCTGAGGCTGAGGCTTTCTCTGAAGCCTCGAAGCCTGAGCTGATCTTCTGACACGAAAGAGAGTTTTGCGGGCAGTTGTCAAGCAAAAGGAAGAAGTTTTCAAGAATGTTTCCCACATCCCAAAAGCGAAGAAGCTCAAGAACAATTGCGGAACAAAATGTGACATCAAAAGTGCTTAGGAAGTGCAACAGGAAGAAGTTATCAAGAGTGTTCTGTAGAGAATTTCAACATGAAACAACACAGCTCCAAAGGGATGAATTTAAGAGAAATTTCTGGTTAAAATTTAACTTCAAAAGCAAACATTTTATAGAAATTTTAGCACAAAACTCAACATCAAAAGAGCTTTGAAAAGTGCACAGAAAGAGGTTTTAAAGTCTGTTTCACAGACTTTGCATCCCCAGTAAAAATATGTTTTAAATAAATTTCGTAAGTAATTCATAATTAAACAACAAATGTGCTTAGACTTGCTACAGTATAGAGGGTAAGTCTATCTATGGCTGACTTTAAAAAAAAACTTCTCAAAAAAATTAGCTTTAAAATGTAAACCCAAGAACCAAGTCAACAGGCACGTGTGCCGCCTGTAGTGGCGCTGGGAGTTGCAGCTGAACACAAAATAATTACAAGCAGCGAATGATATTATCGCATGCGATAAAGTTAGATAAATTATGCTGACAGAATCAAAGCTTAGCTCAGCAAAGCTTAGCTGTTAAATCAGCTGATTGGGTGAAGCTTTCGTTGATGACAGCTGTCAACATAAGCTTTTAGAACACGGTTTTAGCACTTCCGATCGCATTTAAACGGGACGAGCCCCAGAAAAATTCTTCTTTTCGTCTATCTAAAATTCTGATCGGTTCGTGACCCGTCCGATAGTGAGTTAATTTTTTTCCGACCAACCACGTGTGTGTGAAAAAGTAAAAATAAACGAACGCCGTGCAGTGAATATAAATATCAGTGAATTTAAATTTCACCTGGCCTAGAGCCATCCCAACGTTTTTGGGCGAGCGTGCAATCCACGCAATCCCAAACTTTTTGGACTGGCGTTCAACCCACGCCATCCACGACAGAAGAGAAATATAATTATCCACGGAAATCCCGGAAAGATTGGTAGGTCCAATGTGGGAGAGACCCGAACAAAGGTTCTTATAATAGCTCTTGGCTGTATTCCTTCCCCCCCCCCACAGGGCTTTGCTACGCTTTCCCCCCACACTCAGCCAGAGCAGCAGCGCATTGACGTTTTGTTGGCAATACGCTGAGGGGTGGGGAATTTTTCTTGGGAGACCGGTGGAAGCCCGGCTCCAGAACCTATGTAACACCATAGCCATGATGTAACTTCACAATGACCATGACGTAACCTTGCAGTAACCTCTGCGCAGGCGCCACAGCCGACAGTGTCGTACCGCTAAGAGGGCCACCATTATATCTTAGGCTGCAATCAAAGCCTAAAGCACTGTCTTTTATTTTAATAATTAATTAAATTTAAATTTTGTTAATGCTAATACTCTTTTCTATTATTATATTCTATTT